GATTTAGTGTGTAGCACTTCTTGATTTTTTTGCAAAGGCACAAGAAGCACGAGAATTGATTAAAAATTGTGACTTAAACCTCTATGTATCACGCGATGGCCTGTCTCACTGTACCAAAATTATTATATCTCGGTGAGCATTCGGAAGTCAGCCAAGCGCGGTCATTGCACGCGTGCTGAACAAGAATGCTGTATAATGACAGACTAGAAACAATAGACAACTCCCAAAGCACAAACTCAGCCAAAACGCTAAAAATCTTCAATGTTTACTCAAGTTTGGGCTTATAGAAGATAATGTCACAGTTTTTCAATGACCATGAAATTCAGAGTCCGGGTAGTTAGTTAATCAATTGTGGCCCTGAAAAAATTTGAAGGAAAAAAAACTACGAATTTTTAAGAAAATGCTTTTTTCGTGAGAAGGACTCTTAAACGCTGACAAACGTCAACAAATAGCGAAAACTATAATTTCTATATGTTTGCTTTGCTCGAAATCGCGCGCATTTACAAGGCCCTAAAGCGTTTTGCTGACTTGCAAGGACCCATCTGTTATAACGATGCCCAAAATAAAGAGATGAATCTCATAGTTTATTAGATATAATCCGTGTAAAGTTTGCTTATCATTTTCGCATAAATTATGACCTAAATTTGGAAACCGCTGAATTTCTCGAATTGGGTCTTTGCGATTTTGGTGAAACTCTGTTCAGCGCAAGGCACTAATGCGCACTATGTGTAGCCGAGAGATTTTCACGAAAAAATGCCGGCAACAGCAGATTTTCGACTCAGACCTCAAAGGGGCGTGGCATTATAACCACGTGACATTTACTCCGATCGCCAAAATTTTTATGTTATATTGTAGATTGATCTATATGTTATCCATTCTATATGTTTAACTTACGATAAAAGTAAAGGTGGGGATACCAGAGAGCTTCAAAGTAGGATGGTACCCCCCAAAAAAAACTGGGTCGAGTCACCTTAAGTCTTTTCGAAATTATTAGGGCTCCAGTATTACTTTCCCGAAAATTTTAGATGCAATTTAACGTTTTACGAGAGTGAGGATTTTTCTAATTCCTAATTCCTCTCTTCATCGCATTTTTGAATCCGAAAATTTTAGACTTCCTTTTTACAACGAAAAAAAGCCAAACCTGGGGAGGAATATGTGAAAGATTAAACTTCAGAAAATCGTCGGGAACTTATTAGGTAGACTTCCAAAATTGTACATGAATGGAACAGTCACCTAGAAATTTTTAGCCGTTCTCAAGAACAGATATTCTACAGAAAACAGTCGTCGGGTGCCCCTGTTAAGAGGTCACGACCAAACAATACAATCCATAATATCATAGGTAACAAAATACCGGACTGGGTACTCCATAGTCTTGGTGCGAAATTTCAGAGTTAACTTATACTTTCTTATGTAAAATAATAAAATTGCTGACTAAAAGGCAACAGTTCATATGTTGCAGTGCCAAGATGGTGTCAAGGTTTAAGAATGTTATGAATGAAGATGATGTCGTGGGATTAAAAGATGCTGAACATCCAAAAGAGGACCATTTTTAAAAACAAGAAAGATTCTACAAGTAGTTTGTCAAAAAGTTCAGAAATCGAACTAATGGCAAAATTTAAGCTCTAAACTTTCAGTGCGTGGAGTTCTCGATACCACAAACAAGCCTAAAAACCACTATTGTGAGTGTATAATTTGTCACCCATGATGTTAATGTAATCAAATATAGACAAGTGAAATTAAGATTACTGAAAAAATTTCACCAACATTTTGTCACACGTCTCACAATTTCATAAGAATTTTGACAAAACGCGCCTGAAATTATTTTCTAATTTCACTTGTCGCCATTTGATGACACATAGACAGAAAACCAGGTTGGTTAAAAACATTCAAGTTTGCCAGCCAGAGGTGAGAGGTTAAAACAAGAGGTAACGTATCTGCCAGGACAAAACAAATTGGCCATTGTTTAGAGGTGGCTGTAATTAGCAAAGGTAAGAGTGTCGAGGCTGTGTAGGCCCAGTTTTGGATTAACAAATTCAAGGAAAATTCACTAAATCTGTTATAGTTTCTTGACATAACTTGCCTACAGGATGTCCAGTTTCCAATGTTTGGTTAAAAGCCTGAAAAGTAATTCTACTGAATAGCGAGACATGACTAAACTGTCATGTTACCATGGATACTGACCTACAGCTGTAAATGTCATTGATATCCATCTTACTGTTAAATGCCATGGCCTCAAGACTGTCAGTCATTGGTCCATCTAAGATTCGCACCCCTGATTAAAATAAATTATCAATCTGTGTCAGTAACAAGGCCCTGATAGGGTAAAATTCTGTCACGCGACATAAGACAAATGAAATGGCAGCAAACAACATAAAGATGGGTTAAAAACTGCAACAGCGACGAGAACAACCGCGATGAATACAATCAAGTAAAACACCAACAGGGACATGGCTTCCTCTTCGATACAGCAAATGAACGGTCTTGGAATTCAGACCCTCCTTGGAGGGACCCCGCCAAGTAACTGGAAAAACCTTTGTGAGTCAGCTCACATGAAAATTCTTTACCTGACACTTTTGCACCATATGCCACACCCACGGCACAGTATGTGTTAGGAACAGCAGCAATTTCACCAGCACACCTGTCAGGAAAACAGTGACAANACTGTCATGTTACCATGGATACTGACCTACAGCTGTAAATGTCATTGATATCCATCTTACTGTTAAATGCCATGGCCTCAAGACTGTCAGTCATTGGTCCATCTAAGATTCGCACCCCTGATTAAAATAAATTATCAATCTGTGTCAGTAACAAGGCCCTGATAGGGTAAAATTCTGTCACGCGACATAAGACAAATGAAATGGCAGCAAACAACATAAAGATGGGTTAAAAACTGCAACAGCGACGAGAACAACCGCGATGAATACAATCAAGTAAAACACCAACAGGGACATGGCTTCCTCTTCGATACAGCAAATGAACGGTCTTGGAATTCAGACCCTCCTTGGAGGGACCCCGCCAAGTAACTGGAAAAACCTTTGTGAGTCAGCTCACATGAAAATTCTTTACCTGACACTTTTGCACCATATGCCACACCCACGGCACAGTATGTGTTAGGAACAGCAGCAATTTCACCAGCACACCTGTCAGGAAAACAGTGACAAAAAATGTTTAGAATTTTTACGGGACAATTCGTTCTTACCTACCTACATACCTCGCCTCTTGGCGCTGCAGGTTATGCAAAAGGCCCCTACACTTCTCTGCCTGCTTTCTTGAAAAGTTTGTCTGAGTTCAGTAATGATTATATTTTTCACCGGGATGGGACATGGAGGGTCAGGGGTTACAATTCATCTGGCCTTTCACCAGCATGATTAAAGCCACCAGGGATCAAGGTTCCAACATGTATTGCTTCCAGGTTCATCAAAGCACACAAACCTGCCCACCAAGTTAAGGCACAACAGTTACTAGAGACTGAATTAGGGGAGGCAGCATGGCCTAGCAATTACAGGAAAACCTGAGCCCCGAGTTCAAGCGCAACCCTGACTGTTCAATGGAATTGTGGAAATTGTAACATTATGATACCGTGTTGTGAACAGTGCTGAAACTGGTCCGCCTTCTGCCAATTGGGATTAATTATATTCATTACTGTTATAAACCATGCTATGTAATATTACTTTGATACATGTTTTTCAATGATTTGTTCATCCTCACTAGCATTTGTGCTATGCATACTGCTATAGGTAATGGATTGCAGGAAGGAATTTCAGTATCTTTTAGCATCACTTGACCCATCACTGTAAGGAGCAGTTTTGCAACTTGTCGTCCTCATCACTGCCACCACATGCCTTGCAGATGATCAGCACAGTATAATTATTTTTGTGGGATATATTTCTTAAATCGAAGTATTCATATAAGCTAAACAATGTTAATTATCTTCACAATTAACTTCTGTTAGCCTGATTTTCTACGATATAGTTTAAGAGTTTCACTTTAGAAGTTAATCTCATTTTTTCAAGGAAAATATTAATTTGTTATATTAGTATTTACCAGGAGACTAAATGTTTAACATAAAAATATCCTTTTAAAAAGTGGAAATACATTGTAGCAATGGTAATACTTTTGTGATTTTACCTGTCTTCACGTATTTCAATATAACTGGTCATTGCGCAAGGAACATTCCTGATATATTTCAGGTATTAAAGGTTTTTTTAGTTTGCCATTTTTTTAAAATTAATGGCATTCATAACTACATGAATAGCATTTAAGTTGTATGTTACTACCTTGTACCATGATGGTTTAAGCCTGCCTCATCAGCTCTTGGCATAGGATCATCATCATTAGAGTTTATATCCCAGCTACCTTCGGAACACTAGGATCATCATTAAAAAGTGAAATACTTTTTAGTTTTTAATTTATTAGGAATTGGTTTTATTCCTACATGATTTATTTGAGTAACAACATTAAAACAGATCGGGCCAGTTATTTCAAGGAAGTCTAACTTACATGGAGGTGCTGGACTCCAGGAAGGTGAGGTAACTCGCTTTGGTGGGGTAACATGCCTGTCCATATAATCTCTCATTTTAATTTGATCACGTTTACATGAAAGGTGGGGTGACCCGCCGCATGTTACCTCATCTATCTGGGGTCCCCCACCTCCATGTAAACAGGCCCTTAGACCGCAATTTAAGAAATCATTGACCTCCAGATCTTTTGTCTTAAGGGGTTAATTTAAGACTGAAAATAAGTGCTTTTCCAGACAACGCAAATGCTTTATTCAAATTGTTCACGAAAAATGGTGTTTAGATAAAAGCGATGCGCAAACTGAAAATGGCTTAGAACGCGGTTTTGTTAAACACGGGCTAAAGTTCTGTTATAGACATTTACAGTTGCGTTACGCGTTACGCAATGGTATCACGTGATTATATCAAGTGACGTTGTAGCACTAGAGTTTAGACTTTTGGAACTTGACTCGAGATTCGTCGAGATATCTTTTTTAATTGATGCTGTTTAATACCGTAAAATTCCGAAAATAAGCCCCTCCAAATATAAGCTCCCCCCCCCCCCCCCCCCCAAAAAAAAAAAACAACCTTTTAAAAAACCCCCCCCAAAAAA